TTATTTTAAATAATTTAAGTTCCCCACACCTAGGCAAATTATATCCCAGGGGGCTGAGAGAATTTACAGATGTAATTTCAAAATCATTATTGATTTCTTTAAAGAAATCTGGAGAATAAAAAAAAATTTCTAAAAACTGAAATTGAGCAAAGGTACTAGTTTCTTCAGTGTCATAAAGGTGCAGTCTAAAAGTTGTTTCTAAAAATTTTTTATAAACCATCTGTTTAATATTATATGCCAGAATGTTTTTTGAAGATACTATATTATTTTTACCACTTCTGTACCATTTATCTATTTATAGCTTAGTTATTTGTATACAATTGCTGATAATAATAGATGTTATCCTAGAAAAAGTTTAAAGTGAACTGAAGAAGCATTTCTCATGTTCTACATATTTTAATCAAAGATTTGGATGAAACACATGAAATATTTATCAAATCTATAGGCAACAAAAGTAGAAAAGAAAGATAATATTGTGAAAGTCAAGGCAAAGCCTAAAAGATCTTAAAAGACTGAATCCTTGGTAAAATTCAATCATTAGCTTCCCTCACTTAAAAAATTTAACATAAGCGTCAGATAGGCAAATCTGGTTTTAAAGTGGTTCTTGTGGACAATTTTCAAGGGCTTTGGTAAAATGCCAAAACTAAATAAAACTCAAAACTGTAAAGAAACTGCACAAAAAACTCATGCCCACTTAAGTCTGCATGAATTCCTAGAGCAAAAGAGGGTATAGTACGTCTGTGCTGTGTCAATCACACAGTAGGTGTTCAGTTGTCATAACATTATATTTTCAGAAAAATGTGAGCAATCAAAAGAGGGCAACTAGGATGATGAGCACTTGGAAATTATACCATATTCAATTAAAGAAGCCGAGAGTGCTTAGTCTAAATAAAGAAGATTCAAGGAGGACACGGACAGCTTCCTCAAATATTTTTAAGTGCTACCATGTAGACTTACTCTGAGCATCAATATAATGTAATAGAAAGAACATTAATCTTGCCCAGCACTGCCACTTACTGTCTGTGCATCTGCACTGGTTACTCAGCTTTCCCGTGGCTCAATTATTACTTCTGTAAATTTTGGGGAGAGTAAGAAAGATAATGCATATTCAAAATCCTAACAGAGTAGATACATATGATGGGCACATAATAAGTGTTAATTTCCCATCCTTGAAGTAGAAGATGGCAACAATAAATCAAAATGGGAGAATGATTCAGGAATGTAAGGAGAACAAGAAAGTGTTTTGCAACTTCTGAAAATGAAAGCTGCTCTAAAAGTGATGCCCCAGGTTGCTTTGTAATGAGCTCTTTGTCATTGATTATTCCAGGAGAAGCTACATAGCAAGAAAGTAGAAGAGAGAGGTTCTTAAGTACTGATGAAAGGGAGGCTGGAAAGCTACTAAAATCTCTTCCAACTCCAAGATTCAGTGAGTTCAGATCAAGAAGAAAATGTAATTTTTAAGGTTCCATTCTAACCAATGATTTCTCTGAGGCCAGTGAATGTGAGCAATACAGCATTCTAAAACATAGAAGGCCAGACTACAATATGTTTATTTCCTCTAGAATACAGGAGAAAATAGGAGAACACAGGACAATGTCCTATTCTCTTAAGTAGGTCCCTAGGACATACCACATTGATCAATTGTTCTTTGTGCTACAAAAACAAGTAGAAAACAGGGACCTCAGGTAGGCAGTGGGAGAAAAGGGAATAATATATCTAATTGGTGGAAAAATGAAAAAATCAAAGTAATAATAAATCAAAGGCACCACCAAATAGAATTATAACACCCAAAAATGCAAAGAAACAATTGTCCATATCCTCTTATATGTCTCATCAGTGCTTGTCATTGCTTCTTAGTATCTTCTCCTTTTTTGTTTTCATTTTATTTCTTTGTTAGTCATTGCTCTTGATTTTGAGTAAATGGATTGGGGGGGGCGATCTGCCTCTGGTTAAGGATAACTACAGAGGAGCTGAATATTGCATATCGCAGAAGTCAGGTAAGAGTAAAATAACCCTACAAATAACTACCTTTCTGCCCTTCTCAAGTCAGTTAGTTGGAGAGGGATCGCCTCTTCTTGAGCTACTGCCATAACACACTTGCAGCAGATCTCCTTTTTGATGACCAGTTGATGCCATTTTATGACCACATTTGAGGATAAATTAAGTTCAACTCTTGAAGTTGAACTATGTTATGTATTATTTGTATGTTTTTAAACTATTCTTATTACATAAATAAGATATTCATGAAAAAATGAAAATAAAGGGAACAAAACCTTTATTCCACTTAAGTAGTATGATTTGAAGGGTACTTGGAAGACCCTAGCTCCTTCCCCTCAGATGATGTGGTGATATCTACAGCACAAACATTCATTTCATTAGTTTTAAGTACTTTTCCCCTGGGATGGTGACATTTTGGACACATTTACACTGGAAGTCCTTTAAAGTGGTGAGAAAATGGTAATATAGTAGGCAAAAAGCATGGACTCTTATCCTAACTCTGTCACTTACTAGTCTGGGAACTCAGGCATTTAACGTCTTTGATCCTTTATCTCCTCATATATGAAATGGAGGTAATAATCCTTGCTATGGCTCTCCTATAGCATAATTAAGAAAGTCAGAAAAGATAATGTATGTTAGACATAAGGGTTACCTTTCCCAAAACTGATCTCCTTCAAGCTGCCCTTCTGCAGAGAAAGTTGCTTCCTGCAAAGCACCATGCAAAAGAAAGCAGCTATTGCCCAGTGCTTGAGGTAATCACTTCATCACCTGCTGATGTAGAGAACCCTTCTATTAACTTGTTTCCTACAGCTGCAACTGCAAAGCTTGGACCACAGCCTCCGATCACACCGGAAGTCCTGGTACCCCCTCTCCCCCAGCCACAAACTCTGAGCCTAGAAACAGAACTAGAGGCAAGTTTTCTTCATTTCAACATTATATCCAGCCCTAATCACATTAGGAGAGCAGTTATTGCTTCCCCAATCATGCAGCTAAAACGCCTACAGCCCAAATGTTGGGGGGCCCTTCTTGGAATGTGATGTCCTAGACTTCTGTGTGCCACTGATGTTATCATTGGCAAAGGGGGACCTGCACACCTGTGGTCCTGGTCCTGGGTCCATGAGTTTCCCACAGTAAATGCTGCTCTGGTAAATCTGGCGTGTGTGCCATCTGGTCATGTTCCCTGGTTGCGTGGTAACACGGCAAAGGGAAACCGCTCTGATCTTCACAGATGTCGGGGGTTACATTTATGCAGGAGTGTATTGGATTTTTTTTTTCCTAGAGAACTAATGTTGTTAAGAAAAAGGTAGACACAGCATTTGAGCTCTGGGCTTCCAGCAGCAAAAAGATAAGTGAAACAGGGACGAGAGGTCCAGATGCCAAACTTCCTCTGGGCTAAACTTTGGCCTAAATCAAAGTCTAAAATTTAGATAGATTTCTCTCTGTTCCCCTATATTTAAAAAACATAGCTAGTTTCTCCAGGGCTAAATAAACCATTAAATAAAAGAATACCAGAGAGAAAAAAAGGTTACATCCAAACCTCACTTTCACAAGGTAGCCTGTTTTGAAACAATGTTTCTTGGTGCTGCTCTATTATGGTCATGTAAGCACAGTGTGGTCCTCACTTCCACAGGAAGTTCCACAGGGGAGCTGGGTAATCGGGGAGGCACTGTGAGAAGGGATCACCTAGGAAGTTTTGTAGATTGAAACGTAGGTGGCCTTAAAACAAATCACAGCATAGCCATCAGGAAATGACTTTATCATTTAAGATTTAATGGTATCCCTGCCAGGGAAGATAGCCTATAAGGAAGAAAATGGGCACTCTGATACATCTGGTAAACAAAAAAAAAGAGTATTTTCTTAAAAATATCATTTATTTTTTATATTTAAAGTATACAACATGATACTATAAGATATATAGCAAAATACTTGCTATAGTGGAACAAATTAATATATCCATCATCTCACAAAGGTACCTATTTCCCCCCCTGTGGCAAGAGAAGCTACAATACTTATTTGGCAAAAATTCTGAATACAATACATTATTATTAAGTATAGTCTTACATTTCTGCAGCATTTTTAATCTATAAACTACTTTTGCAAATATATATTATTTTATGCAATTCTCCCGTGAACCTTGCTATATATGTATTATTATTCACATTTCACAGAGAAAAGAATATGATCTCAGAAGTTTCTTCCTGAGAAAACAATGCTTACGAAGTGACAGAGCCAGGATTCAAGCTCAGATCTGAATGTCTCAAAAGCCCACACTCTGCCACACTATTGGGCCCCAAACACAGGCTGGATCCCAGAAATCTACACCTTTCATAGTCTTTGCCATGTGATTCTGATAATACTAAAGTCTGGAGTCCATGTATCATACCATACTACATATAGAGAGTAAATACTAATAATAGCCTAAAAATGGTCACTTTACAGTAACTAAGTTGTAACTTACATAAAGTCACTTTGTCACTATGTGGTTATTTTCATATTTGACTTCTTAAGCCTCATGTTTCCTCTTTGTGTTGCTTGAGTAATATTGCTGTTTTGTTAAATAAATCTGTCAATTCCAATTTTTTATAAGTGAATTACTCATATCAAAACTGGCATCTCAGTTTAGCTTGAGCCAGCCACCTATCTGTTTCGTCTAAACCGGTGTTCTCCAAAGTTGGCTGCAGCAGGCAACACACTGAGGAATGTAGAAAGGAAATATTTGAATTTTCATTTTTATTTTGATTACAAGAAACCTTTTTCAGAAGCTTTACCAATATTTGCTTTATTGTTGAACTGTGGCTTATATACAATTTCTGAGTGAATAGTCACAGAAGTGTGTACTTAACAGCTGTATTGTTGGGATACTCAATCAAACAAAAAGCCTCCGGTCTAGACCCTCTCTCCTATGACCAGGAAAGTGTGTTCAGTCTCCTGGGGAAGAATCAGGACACATACTTCCTTCTATATATGTAATTTGTGCTGCAATCCTCACAGGATGGAAGAAAATGACCTCAGAGGCCAGAAATATCTCCCGCACTGTGAGTGACTTCATCCTCTTGGGCTTCCCTTGCCGCTGGGAAATACAGATCGTCCTTTTTTCCATATTCTTTGTGACTTACCTCCTGACTCTCCTTGGAAACACAGCCATTGTGTGTGCAGTGCGCTGGGACCACCGGCTCCACACCCCCATGTACATTCTGCTGGCCAACTTCTCCTTCCTGGAGATCTGCTATGTCAACTCCGATGTGCCCAACATGCTGGCCAACTTCCTCTCCAAGACCAAAACCATCTCCTTTGCTCGGTGCCTCCTCCAGTTGTACTTCTTTTTCTCACTGGGCACAACTGAGTGCTTATTTCTCTCCATTATGGCCTATGACCGGTTCCTGGCAATCTGTCGTCCACTATACTACCCCACCATCATGACTACTAAGTTCTGCAGCAGCCTGGTCATCTTTTGCTGGGTCTATGGTTTCCTCTGGTTTCTGATCCCAGTGATACTCGTTACCCAGTTGCCGTTTTGTGGCCCAAATGTGATTGATGACTTTCTATGTGACCTTGGTCCCCTGCTGGCCCTGGCTTCAGCTTGTGTCCCAATCCCAGGGACTGTTCTCATATGTGGCACCATGAGCTCCCTCCTCATCTTTGCCACCTTCTTCTACATTATTGGCTCCTACACCCTGGTGCTGAGGGCTGTGATGCAGGTGCCCTCCACTGCTGGCCGGAAGAAGGCCTTCTCTACCTGCTCCTCACACCTGGCTGTCGTGTTTCTGTTCTACGGCTCGGTCATGATGACGTATGTGAGCCCAGGGTCAGGACAAGCAGAGGGCATGCAGAAGTTTACGACTCTATTCTACTCAGTTTTGACCCCTTTTTTCAACCCCATGATCTATAGCCTCCGGAATAAAGAAATGAAGGATGCCTTGAAGAAAGTTCTAGGAGGTTCCTGAAATTGGTCTGTGACATTAGTGAGTTCTTCCCAAATGAGTTCAGACTGTGAGCCCCCTGTCAGTGAAGAGTTGAGAAACTGGCAAGTGGATGTGAAGTTTTCAAAGGAGACATTTCAAAACCCTAATGCTATGTCCTCAATGAAGCCTCTCCCCAGGCAGAATTAATTATTTCTTCCATAGCACATTACTTGTAATTCTATTTAACATGTTTTTATTCATTCTTGTGTTATAGTTAGCTGTTTACAAATGTGTCTCCACATGTCTCCCATCCTGGGGAAGAATCAGGACACATACTTCCTTCTATATATGTAATTTGTGCTGCAATCCTCACAGGATGGAAGAAAATGACATCAGAGGCCAGAAATATCTCCCGCACTGTGAGTGACTTCATCCTCTTGGGCTTCCCTTGCCGCTGTATTATAAATTCCTTGAGAGCAAGAACTCTGCTTTATTAGTTTCTGTAATTTCAGAACAGAAAACAGCACCTAGCACATAGATATCAATAATGTTAATTTAAATAAAACAAATATATTTCTTGATATTTTCTCACTAGATTCTATCATTCTTGATAGTCAGAACAATATCTAAAGAAACCATAAAACTCTATAACAAACTTTATTTTACACTTCCTATAGATGAAAGAAAAGGACTTTCATAGAAGAAAGTGAGGTCAACCTGAACCAGTTGGACCAACCCATTAAATGATAATCAAATCAATGGAAAAGTTTCCCCAGATGAAAGTTAAACTCTAAGAAATTACCTCTTTATGAATCCCTTTCTCTAATAACGTAATAATGCTTTATTTCATTTTCTTCTTACTAACCATGCTTCCACTCCTGCACATTTTAAAATATATTCCACAACCCTTACTACAGAATGTGTGGTCTTTGAATCAGCTGGGCATCACTGGAGAACTTTTTAGAATGCAGTTATCCAAGGACCACATCCCAGCACTATTGAATCAGAATCTGCATTTTAAGGACATGCCCAGTGGATTTACATGCATGTTGAAGTTTGAAAAGCGTGGATCTACAATAGATTCTCTGAAAGGGTAACAGTAACTACAACCATGTGGAGGACTTCCTATTGACACCTACCTGCATGGGAACAGTGGTTCTCAACCAATTGACTCAGAATTGGGGGTGGGGCTTAAGCATGAGTATTTTGAAAAGTTCCCCTAAAGGTTGTAATATACAGGGAGGATAGAGAACCACTGCATTCAAATGTATGAATTACCAAATTCTAAAATAACACAGAATGAGACCACACCCACATTTATTTTCAAGAGCCACCCTGGTGCAAATCAACCAAACTGAATAATTATTAGATTACAATAAGACGTATTATAACCCAATTCTTCCTTTGCCAAAAAAAAAAAAATTACATACAAAATAGATAATTCTCTCTTGAAAGTTCTTTACATGCTTGCATTTGGGAGATTGTACATAGTAAAAAGAATTGAAAATATGAAGAAAAGCACATAGGGCAACCTATACAACCATTAATTTAAAAGACTTCTGTGGTACATTATCTTGGCATTATACTAGTATTTGGAGTAATTCAAATTATCAAGATTTACTTCCTTCCCACAGAGAGATGATAACTCTGCTGGAAATAAATTTTTAATCTTTTTCCGCTTGATTGAAATATAATTCATATACAATAAAATTTACCCTTTTCACATGTACAATTCAGTGTTTTTCAGTTTATTCACATAGCTGTGCAACCATTATTACTAACAAATTTCAGGATGATTTCATCACAGACACACAAAAGGAATCCTGTACCCAGTAGCACTCCCTGGCAAACACTAATTTACTTTGAATTAAATGAATTTATCTATTCTGAGGATATTATACAACGTATGGTCTTTTGTGGCTGGCTTGTTTCACTTAGCTTAATGTTTATCCATGAACAAGTCATCGATGTTTTAGCAGGCGTGAGCACTTTATGTTTTTGGTTTGTTTTTTTATTGCTGAATAACTCACCATTGTATCAATAGACCACATTTTGTTTATGCACTCATCAGTTGGTAGACATTTAGGTTGTTTCCACTTTGAGGCTAATATAAGAATGTTGCTATGATATGGAGATACCTTAAAGCAATACAAGTAGATCTACCATTTGATCCAGCAATTCCACGACTGGGCATCTACCCAAAAGATCAATGACACTCTACAAAAAAGACACCTGCACTCGAATGTTTATAGCAGCACAATTCACAATTGCAAAGTTGTGGAAACAACCCAAGTTCCCATCAATTCATGAGTGGATTAATAAAATGTGGTATATGTATACCATGGAGTACTATTCAGCTTTAAGAAACAATGGTGATATAGCACCTCTTGTATTTTCCTGGATAGAGCTGGAACCCATTCTACTAAGTGCAGTATCTCAAGAATGGAAAAACCAGCACCACATGTACTCACCAGCAAATTGGTATTAACGGATCAACACCTAAGTGGACATATAGGAATAACATTTATCGGTGTCGACAGGTGGGAGGGGGGTGGAGGGGATGGGTGCATACAAACATAATGAGTGAGATGTGCAACGTTTGGGGGATGGTCACACTTGAAGCTCTGACTCGAGGTGGGGGGCATGGGCAATATACTAACCTTAACATTTGTACCCCCATAATATGCTGAAATTTTTTTAAAAAGAGAAAAAAAAAGAATGTTTCTATGAATATTCATGTACACATTTTTGTGTCAGCATGTGTGTCAATTTCTCTTTCGTATATCTGTGTTAGTCTGCTCAGGCTGCTATAACAAAATACCACAGGCTGGGTGGCTTAAACAACAGAAACTTATTTTCTTACAATTCTGCAGACTGGAAGTCCAAGGTCAAGGTGCCAGCAGAGCTGGTGTCTGGAGAGACTTCTCTTCCTGGTTTGCAGGTGACCGACTTCTCACTGTGTCCTCACAAGGTCTTCCCTCCGTGTGCACACAGAGAGAGAAAGAGCACTAGCGTCTCTTCCTTTTCTTATAAGGATAACAGCCCTTTCAGATTAGGGCCACTCTTAGGACCTCATTGACCGTAAATATACATTTGTACTATTTATTACCTCTGCCTATAAAGGAAAATTGTATTAGGTGATTGTGCTGAAAATGTGTCAAAAATATAATTTGCATCTCTTTTATGTGGTTGTTTTTATGTGTATTTGCTATATTTTAATTTGTTAATATACATGTATTTCTCTGTAGAGACATATATAAGGTTATTAAGTGTGAAATGTCTGATTTCCTTAAGTACTAAGTTTGACAGTTGGTATCTCTGACATTTCACTTTGACACTCTTGTTTTATTTTTATTGTGAAGGTACATCCTCATTCTTTCAAATACACAGTTTGGCTTGTGATTATCTGTCAAATTTTTTTAGAGCAGTTTTTGTGAAACCATGGATAAGTCCAAAATTCATGTTATTTTCGAATATGAGTTCCACCATGAAAGTGATGCAGCACAGACAGTTCGAAATATCAACAAAGTGTTTGGGAAGGATGTGGCTAATGAACGCACAGTACATTGATGGTTTAAGTTCTGTTTTGATTCTTTTACTCTTCAAAATAAGCCACGTGAGTGACCTGAGACCAAGCTGGATAATGATGAGCTAAAAGCTCTAGTGGAGGTGAATCCATCTCAACCTACGCATGAATTAACAGCAAGCTTTGATTAATATAAAACCATTTAATTCTTCTGATCTTTGTTTTTATTTTCTTGGCATGAAGATTTCAATATAATCTGTGTTTCTAAAAATATTGCTTTTGAAAAACACACTATAGATCCTTTGTTTCCCTAATTCCCATAATGCAATATAATAAAATATTTACCAAAAATATATTTTGAAAAATATTATGGATATGGTTCTCTTATCAGATACATAGTTTGAAAATATTTTTCCCATTTTGTGAGTTGTGTTTCACTTTTGTGATGTTGTGTTTCACTTTTCTTGATGCTGTCATTTGCAGCACAGAAGTTTTTGTATATTGAAGAAGTCCAATTTATTTATATGTGTGTGTGTTTCTTGTTCACAGTCAGGACAAAATATCAACTAAGCAAAATTGGCCAGAGCATTACAAACGTACACATTCTCTTAAGGGATCACTACAATTTGGAAGATTATAATTGCCCCCACTCACATTTCACCTACAGTTTACATCATGCCATTACTGAGAACAGGTTGTATATTTTCTTTTTGTTCTTATCTCATAGGACATTTTAAAAAATGAATTCTTTCACCATTTCAACATTTCTACTGTATTCTTATTTTTTTCCATTTGAAAAGAACAATTTATCACTTTTCCTTCCAAAGGTTTGTAAATTTACCAAAAAAAGGATCAAAGCTTACCGACTGCTTAGACTAAGAACACAGGAGGCGAGACTCTACTACACGGCCACCGGTGGCAACTGTGCACTGATGCTTACATGAGTGCTGCCTTCAGGGGGCTGCGCTTCTCACACCCTGTGATGTGCTGCGATCATTAGTCAAGTCGCTGGAATAGTACAAAGGTTTTTTGGTTTGTGGGGGAGGGATTTGCCTTCCTACTACAAAAGGAAAATTTTTAGTTCATTTCTGAAAAATAAATTGGTCAATAAATTCATTTTGTTCTGCTTCTGCTTTACACAAAGCTTCCTAGTCAACCCGATACCTTTCTAGATGCATTTTCTTTTCTGCTATTAGTGCTTGAAGTTGCTGTTTTGGGGTTTCTCTCTGCTTTGCTATAGATTTGAGCAAGTTCTGAGCACGGATGGCCTTCATCTATACCTAGTAAAAAAAATTCTTATAGAAACAGAATTGAGAGAACGCATTGCCAGCAGACTTGCACTATAAGAATTGTTTAAGTTTTTCAGGCAGAAGTAATATGATAACAGACAGAAACTTGGATTCACCAAGAAAAGAAAGCATTGAAAATAGAATAAATAAAATGTATATTGTAACAATATTTTGTGTTCTCACAGCTTATATAAAAGTCAATTAATTCTATGACCAAAATATAGCCC